TTTCCAAAAGTGGGGGAAACTTCAATTTTCAAATGTTATAATGGTTGCTATGCACCTGCTAAGCACATACTCTACTATGTTCTTATCTCTATTACCAACTACACATGTGTGAACAGCGTGTTCTGATCAGTGTTGTTTCTGCAGAGCAAACTCTGTCACATGGAACCCACACAAGATGATGGGCGTTCCACTACAGTGCTCCGCCATTCTGGTCCGAGAGAAGGTAAGAGAGAAAAGGAGAAATGGGGGTTTCAAAATAAATTAGTCTGAATAGCAATGGAACAGAGTAAAATTCAGTAGTAGAATGCAAAGAAAGCTGGGTGAGAACAAGAGGAAAAGAGAGGCAGAGAGACAAATAATCAAAAGAGAGAGAGCTGCTTGCTGACATGTTATTATGATCATCTCCACTCAGTGTTCCTGCTCTCTCACTGTGTGTGTGTGTGTGTGTGTGTTTTCAGGGTCTTCTTCAGGGCTGTAACTCCATGTGTGCAGGATATCTCTTTCAGCCGGATAAGCAGTATGATGTCACATATGACACAGGGGACAAGGCCATACAGTGTGGCCGCCATGTAGACATCTTCAAATTCTGGCTCATGTGGAAGTCAAAGGTGTGTGTGCACATCCATGAGATCAGAACCTCAGTGCTTGATAATGTGTTACTCATGAATTAAGGATTCAGGATGCAGAAATCATGGATTTAATGCAGTAATGAAAAACAAATCAGATGGATGGATGAACAGTTGGATGGATGGATAGATGGATGAATGTATTGGGTAGACGGATGCATGAACGTTTAGATGGATGAATGAATGAATGAATGAATGAATGAATGAATGGATGGATGGATGGATGAAGGACCGATCAATCGATCGATAAATGAATGGTTGGATGGATGGATGGATGGATGGATGGATGGATGGAAGGATGGATAGACGAAAAGTTGGATGGTTGATGGATTAATAGATGGATGGATGAATGATTGGATGGATGGTTGAATATTTGAATGGATTAAGGATAAATGGGTGGAAGATCAACGGTTTTATGTATGAAGTTGTGGATGGATGGATGGATGGATAAAGAGTTGGAATGAATGATGGATGGACAGATGGACGAAAAGTTGAATGGATGATGGATTAATTGATGACTGGTTGAACAGATGGATGGATGAACGATTAGATGGATGATGGATGGTTGAATAGTTGAATGGATTATGGATAAACGGGTGGAAGATGAATGGTTGTGTGTATGAAGGGGTGGATAGATGGATGGATGAACTGTTGGAATTATTGATGGATGGATGGATGGATGGAAGGATGGATGGTCGAATAGATGGACGAAATGTTGGATGGATGATGAATATTTGATGACTGGTTGAATAGATGGATGGATGAACAATTAGATGGATGATGGATGGTTAAATAGTTGAATGGATGATAGATAAATGGGTGGAAGATGAATGGTTGTATGTATGAAGGGGTGGATGGATAGATTAACAGTTGGAATTAATGATGGATGGATGGATGGATGGATAAATGAATGGTTGATGAATGGATGGATGGATTAATGAATGGAAGGAAGGATGGATGGATGGATGGATGGATGGATGAATGGATGAAAATTTGGATGGATAATGAATTAATTGATGACTGGTTGAATAGATGGATGGATGAACAATTAGATGGATGATGGATGGTTAAATAGTTGAATGGATGATAGATAAATGGGTGGAAGATGAATGGTTGTATGTATGAAGGGGTGGATGGATGGATTAACAGTTGGAATTAATGATGTATGGATGGATAAATGAATGGTTGATGAATGGATGGATGGATTAATGAATGGAAGGAAGGATGGATGGACGAAAATTTGGATGGATAATGAATTAATTGATGACTGGATGGATGCATGAATGGAAGGAAGAATGGATGGATGGATGGACGAAATGTTGGATGGATGATGAATTAATTGATGACTGGTTGAATAGATGGATGGATGAACAATTAGATGGATGATGGATGGTTAAATAGTTGAATGGATGATAGATAAATGGGTGGAAGATGAATGGTTGTATGTATGAAGGGGTGGATGGATGGATTAACAGTTGGAATTAATGATGGATGGATGGATGGATAAATGAATGGTTAATGAATGGATGGATGGATGGATGGATGATGGATGGTTGAATAGATGAATGCATGATGGACAAATGGGTGGATGATGGATGACTGGTTGGATAGATAATGGATGAATGGAGGGAAGAATGGGTGGATGAATGGATAGATGGCGAGATGGATGGGTGGATGAACAGTTGGATGGATGAATGGTGGATGTATGTTCACTGTATTGTAACATAGAATCAATGTTAATCCAGCACAAAGATGTTTGTGTAGAATATCAGTTGTGATGTTCTGTCATCTTTAACAGGGCACTATAGGCTTTGAGAAGCACATTGACAGATGTTATGGATGGATAAATGAATGGTTGATGAATGGATGGATGGATTAATGAATGGAAGGAGGGATGGATGGAAGAAAATTTGGATGGATAATGAATTAATTGATGACTGGTTGAATAGATGGATTGGTGAACAATTAGATGGATGATGGATGGATGGATGAATGCATTGGGTAGACAGATGCATGAACGTTTAGATGGATGGATGGATGGATGGATAGATGGATGAATGCATTGGGTAGACAGATGCATGAACGTTTAGATGGATGGATGGATGGATGGATGGATGGATGAATGAATGAAGGATGGATGGATGGATGATGGACCGATCAATCGATCGATAAATGAATGGTTGGATGGATGGATGGAAGGATGGATAGACGACAAGTTGGATGGTTGATGGATTAATAGATGGATGGTTGAATATTTGAATGGATTAATGGATAAATGGGTGGAAGATCAACGGTTTTATGTATGAAGTTGTGGATGGATGGATGGATGGATGGATAAAGAGTTGGAATGAATGATGGATGGACAGATGGACAGAAAGTTGAATGGATGATGGATTAATTGATGACTGGTTGAACAGATGGATGGATGAACGATTAGATGGATGATGGATGGTTGAATAGTTGAATGGATTATAGATAAACGGGTGGAAGATGAATGGTTGTATGTATGAAGGGGTGGATAGATGGATGGATGAACTGTTGGAATTATTGATGGATGGATGGATGGATGGATGGATGGACGAACGAATGGATGGATGGATGGATGCATGAATGGAAGGAAGAATGGATGGATGGATGGACGAATAGATGGACGAAATGTTGGATGGATGATGAATAATTGATGACTGGTTGAATAGATGGATGGATGAACAATTAGATGGATGGTTAAATAGTTGAATGGATGATAGATAAATGGGTGGAATATGAATGGTTGTATGTATGAAGGGGTGGATGGATGGATTAACAGTTGGAATTAATGATGGATGGATGGATGGATGGATGAATGGTTAATGAATGGATGGATGGATGGATGGATGATGGATGGTTGAATAGATGAATGCATGATGGACAAATGGGTGGATGATGGATGACTGGTTGGATAGATAATGGATGAATGGAGGGAAGAATGGGTGGATGAATGGATAGATGGCGAGATGGATGGGTGGATGAACAGTTGGATGGATGAATGGTGGATGTATGTTCACTGTATTGTAACATAGAATCAATGTTAATCCAGCACAAAGATGTTTGTGTAGAATATCAGTTGTGATGTTCTGTCATCTTTAACAGGGCACTATAGGCTTTGAGAAGCACATTGACAGATGTCTGGAGCTGTCTGAGTATCTCTACCACAAGATAGAGAACCGAGAAGGATATGAGATGGTGTTTCAAGGGGAGGTGAGTGAAAACAATCACAATAGAGTTTATCACTGTCCTTCACATACTAGTACTATTCAGAGTCAAGGTTTCTTTCATAACTTTTTTTTAATGATGCCCTTCTGTCCGTTTCTTAGCCCCAACACACTAATGTGTGTTTCTGGTACATTCCTCCAAGCCTGCGGCTTCTGCCAGATGGAGAGGAGAAAAGACAACGACTTCATAAGGTAAGTAGATACTCACACTCACTACTTCTCAGTCTACATATGTTGCTCGTATGTAACTGATCAAATACACATGTGTATATGCCACATATTTTATGCCACTCATTTTATTTAGCCAGTTACCTTAAGCTTCTGTCCTGTGAATTATATCTAGGTTGCCCCCAAGATCAAGGCAATGATGATGGAGTGTGGAACAACAATGGTGGGCTACCAGCCTCAAGGCGATAAGGTCAACTTCTTCAGAATGGTTGTCTCTAATCCGGCTGTAACCAGGTCTGACATTGACTTCCTGATCAATGAGATAGAAAGACTGGGACAGGATTTATAGAGTGCACAGGGCTGGAAATTCAGTAGATGTTAGTAAATTCTGTAGAAATATAGGAAAGTTAAATAGTTGAATGGATGATAGATAAATGGGTGGAATATGAATGGTTGTATGTATGAAGGGGTGGATGGATGGATTAACAGTTGGAATTAATGATGGATGGATGGATGGATAAATGAATGATGAATGGATGGATGGATTAATGAATGGATGATGGGATGTTGAATAGAAAATTTGGATGGATAATGAATTAATTGATGACTGGTTGAATAGATGGATGGATGAACAATTAGATGGATGATGGATGGTTAAATAGTTGAATGGATGATAGATAAATGGGTGGAAGATGAATGGTTGTATGTATGAAGGGGTGGATGGATGGATTAACAGTTGGAATTAATGATGGATGGATGGATGGATAAATGAATGGTTAATGAATGGATGGATGGATGGATGGATGATGGATGGTTGAATAGATGAATGCATGATGGACAAATGGGTGGATGATGGATGACTGGTTGGATAGATAATGGATGAATGGAGGGAAGAATGGGTGGATGAATGGATAGATGGCGAGATGGATGGGTGGATGAACAGTTGGATGGATGAATGGTGGATGTATGTTCACTGTATTGTAACATAGAATCAATGTTAATCCAGCACAAAGATGTTTGTGTAGAATATCAGTTGTGATGTTCTGTCATCTTTAACAGGGCACTATAGGCTTTGAGAAGCACATTGACAGATGTCTGGAGCTGTCTGAGTATCTCTACCACAAGATAGAGAACCGAGAAGGATATGAGATGGTGTTTCAAGGGGAGGTGAGTGAAAACAATCACAATAGAGTTTATCACTGTCCTTCACATACTAGTACTATTCAGAGTCAAGGTTTCTTTCATAACTTTTTTTTAATGATGCCCTTCTGTCCGTTTCTTAGCCCCAACACACTAATGTGTGTTTCTGGTACATTCCTCCAAGCCTGCGGCTTCTGCCAGATGGAGAGGAGAAAAGACAACGACTTCATAAGGTAAGTAGATACTCACACTCACTACTTCTCAGTCTACATATGTTGCTCGTATGTAACTGATCAAATACACATGTGTATATGCCACATATTTTATGCCACTCATTTTATTTAGCCAGTTACCTTAAGCTTCTGTCCTGTGAATTATATCTAGGTTGCCCCCAAGATCAAGGCAATGATGATGGAGTGTGGAACAACAATGGTGGGCTACCAGCCTCAAGGCGATAAGGTCAACTTCTTCAGAATGGTTGTCTCTAATCCGGCTGTAACCAGGTCTGACATTGACTTCCTGATCAATGAGATAGAAAGACTGGGACAGGATTTATAGAGTGCACAGGGCTGGAAATTCAGTAGATGTTAGTAAATTCTGTAGAAATATAGGAAATGGAGAAGACGTTTTGAAGTATTGTATCAGCTGGACATTCTAGAGTATTAGACAAATGAGGTGCTCTAGAATAATGAAACTCTCGGATTTCTAGAATGTTCCACTAGGAAACTGGACATTCCAGAATGCAGAGGTGGTGAGCTCTTAAAGCTATAATTTCATAATGAAGGATCAGATTTCCGCCTATGACATTATATGTCCTCTCTTCTTCCCTTCCCCCTGTTCTCTTGTCTCCTGTCTATTGTGTTCTTTCTATTGTAACACTTTACAATAAGGTTCCCTTTCTGGTTAACTACATTTGTTAAGATGAACTGACATTGCCAAATACTTGATGCATATTTTAATCTTACTTTGTTATTTTTAATATTTACTAATACATCTAAAATTATTTAATGGACCTGAGCTAACTTGAATTAGCAATGAACAGTTGTATTTTTATGAACTAAGGTTAACAAAGATTAATAAATACTGTTATATTATAACAGTATATTATATATGTTATATTAAAAAATACTACAAATATTTTGCTCATTAATTAATGTAAAATACTTTATCCTGATTGGCTGAAGAATGTTTTAGAGTGCAGTTTATTTCATTGAAACCCACAGCTAAAATAGTTCCAAGCAGGTCTTGACGGTATTTCATGTCCATATCTCGTTGTCAAATGATTTCAGTTATTTCAAAAGTTCTTACAGCCTACAACAGCAAATGAACAAAATCACACAACAACACTGACCAAACAGATAAATATATTAAACAGTAAGATAAAAATGACAAACTATTTACATGTTTCTCCCACGCTGAAAACTGAAAAGCTGCATGACATTTCTCAGTAGTGAGATGGTAGCGTTGCTGTTCTTGAAGCCATTAAACTTACAGTCCTTACATAACCACCTTGGGTGTGCATTATTTTCTAATACTTCAACTGTCCGTTTTCAATTATTCAGTATTCAATGCATTAACTCAAGTGATGAAACCTTGTTGTAGAGTGTTACCCTTTATTTTAACAGGAAATATTATACTATACAGCACAACTGTACATTTAAGAAATGTTCATGGTTCAGTTCAAGTTAAGCTCTATGACAGTGTCTATGATAAAAACAATATGTCCCTTTCTACAAAGAAACAAAAATTGTACTTACAGTATTGCTCTCTCAGTGGAAATTTAACAGGCAAGGCACTGGAGTAGCAATACCTCACTGTATTAAAGTCACAGTCACAATTACGATAAAGAAACCTGCAGTTCAAATATCATAAGATAGCACTTTATAAAAAAAACTAAGAGACTGACTTTTTGTAGCCCCATAGACATCCACTGTAAATGCATTAATTTAAACACATTTTTTTTTTTTTTTTTTTTTGTATAGACTAAGGGACATAGAGCATAACTTTTCAACTGTGAACATTTCCTTTAAAATCCAGAACTGGTCTGAATTCTCAATAAAAAAGTTTAAGAATATACTGTAATATACCACCATCTATAAGAGCCATCTGGACCGTCCATGTGATTGCACAAATTCATAACTTCTTAGCTGTTATGTCATGAAGATTAACTGAAGTGTGTACCATTGTACCAAGTACTGTATTGACACGCTGTGTTTTTAGAATTTATGACTCTTTGTGTAAATTGTGATTGTTTGTGACAAACATATATCACATAGTTTTACAGTAAGAAATGTTTGAATAGTGGTAAAGATATTATTCCTCTATTTGTACCCTCCAAGTATTTTCATTTGTATTTTGAGAGACAATATTTATCTATATTGTTTAAAACAGTGCATTAGAGATTTTAATTCATTTATTAACCAAAGACATAGAACAAAAATGAAATTTCATTGTCAGTCTAAATACTTGTAACACTCTGCTACATTATATGGCCAGAAGTATGTGAACATCTCATTCTAATTAATGGATTTTGCTATTCCAGTAACTCCAGTAAAGACAAATTTCAATGCTATACCATAATGCCCGTCTAGAGAAGTGGTGGTGCCCAAAACAGGGTCCATATATGGTTTACTTAGTCTGGTGGGGAAGACTTTGACAGTCCTGCACAAAGCCCAGACGTGAACCCCACTAAAAACAACTTTTCCAGACCCCCTCACCCAACATCAGTGCCTTTGGCCATGTAGTGTATCTAACTTAGTTTAAGAAATGAATGTCTAACTTAAGATATCAATATAACAGAGCATTCTCTAACCATAGTGCAATGAATGCTGTAGCTGAGATTTAGTCAATGGTATTCATGAATTAATATGTAAAAAAATCTAAAATAAAGTATCTTAACTTTTGTTAAGAGAAAAGCACAGCGACGTCACAGCGATGATCCTCCAGAAAGGGAAATGTATTTTATTAGCAGCTATATTTGTAGTATTCGTAATTAAGTTTAATTTCTTCAATATAGACCAAACACAATTTCACATTCCTAAATCAACAAACTATGCTAATACTGTATTTTGTGTACGCTTTGCTTACTTCAGTCTGCACAGTAGATGTAAAGCTAATGATCTCTAGCTTGAAGTGCCTGAGTGTTTACTAACTAAAAAATGTGCATTTTAACTGGCTTGCAGTTTGTGCAATATTACTGTTCACTGTTACCAGTAGAAATAAACACTCAGCTTGAAACATCTTGGTTTATTTTGTGTGTATTCATAAAAGAAGGGAATGATGGTTGTCATGTATCACTGAACAGTATGCTAGACCAAGAGTTGCCAAATAAACTGAGAATAGAGCACTGCTTAGAAATGATTTGCTCCTCTTCTATCTATATAAAAGCAAATGAAAGGAATAGTTCACCCAAAAATGACAATTTGCTAAAAAATAAAAACATAAAAAGACTCTAATAGACTTTTTTTCTTCTTCATGGTAACAGATTTGTAGAAATGTAGCATTACATCACTTGCTCACCAATGGATGCTCTGCAGTGAATGGGTGCCGTCAGAATGAGAGTCCAAAGAGCTGATAAAAACATCACAATAATCCACAAGTAATCCACACCACTTCAGTCCATCAGTTGATGTCTTGTGAAGTGAAAAAGTTTTAACTTTAAACTGTCACTTATAGCCAAAATCCATAATCCATAGTATCACTTTTTTTCCAGTGAAAAAGTCCATTCCCTATTGTCTCTCACATCAAAATCACCATCTCAAAGTTCAAAGTTTAGAACTATTTTGGACTGATTTTACTTGATCTGTGCATATTTCTCTCCTGATTCAGACTAGATGACTTTTTCACTGGAGAAAGTATTATGATGATTAATGATGAATTTGTTTCTTACAAACATGCAGCTTTTCGTTTCACAAGACATTAACTGATGGACTGGAGTGGTGTGGATTACTTGTGGATTATTGTGATGTTTTTATCAGCTGTTTGGACTCTCATTCTGACGGCACCCATTCACTGCAGAGCATCCATTGCTGAGCAAGTGATGCAATGCTACATTTCTCCAAATCTGTTCCCATGAAGAAACAAACTCATCTACATCTTGGATGGCCTGAGGATGAGTACATTTTCAGCAAATTTTTATTTTTGGGTGAACATCTCAGATAAAAAATAAATGCTGTGTTCTACCTTATAATGGTTTTCTCTGAGGAAAAAGATGGGTATCGTCAGTGCATCAAACAAGAGGAAGAAAATCAAAGCACTGTGGTGAGGTCATCATTCATTTTAATAGACAAAGAGGCCACACACTCATTAGACTCCATAAGCTGCTGAATTTCCATGTTCCAGCTCATTTCACATGGGGTTATCTCTGAATTTCACAGCCATTGGATATAATGTTGAGACACAGCTGCAGCATTAAATGCAACTCTCTAATCGAAATGCAATCACTACAAAACGCACCATTACCTTACCCAAAAAGCTTCTTGAGGCAGATTTCAGACAGTCTTTCTAGAAAGCCCTTTACAGTAAATGAAAGTGATTTGCCTAAGGACAGGGAAAAGAGACTCCGGATCTACAGATCTCATCTTATAACCAGCCTCTCTTTCCTCAGTCTCCTCTGTCACTCCTCATTTCTCTCATTAATATCCCTGAGCAGGAGTTTTACTGAGTGATCACAGCAGTGAAGTGTTTCCAGTCCTCTGTGGGAGCAGGTTTGCTCATTATTTATCTCTTTAAAGATATTTATCATAAAAGCCATCAGACCTTGTTCTCTTTCATAAGCAAAGGCGGCCTGTGGGAAGCCAATTTCAGCATTCTTTTTTTAGGTTAGGTTAATAAAGGAAAAAGGTATAGGTTTTTTTTTTCATTTTTCCATTTCAAGTTGGGTTTCATCTGATAGAGTGTGATTTCTGGCATTGCAGAAGACATGGAAAACATCAACAGCTTTACACTTTTTAAAATAAAAGCCTCTTATTCTAGTTGTATAATAAACCAGGCATTGTAGGCCTACTGAATATTGTTAGCTCTTTGACAAATTGCTTTGTTCCTCTTTGTTCCTTTGGATAAAAGCTTCTGCTAAATGCATGAATGTAAATGTAAAGGTTCCAAAAGGGGGGTTTCACAGTGATGCCATAATGATATATGGACATCAATTATGGGATTGCATGATTAATGGTATGTGTATGTAACGTCAAGGAACTCTTTATCTCTGTTGTTAAAACTCTATTTATCTACTCTCTCTCTTATCTCTATTGCTCTCTTTCTGTTTGAGATTCCACTGATACACCTGTAAATGTTATTTTGCCATGATGTCAAATGGAAAAGCCTTGTGGAACCTTGTGGAAAGCAGCCAATAGTGCTCTCACTTACTCACATTAACTTCACAGTCCTAGCAGAGCTCTTCTGCACCCATCCATTCCAATTACAAGCATTATTAAACTTAGAGCTGCATTGGAAAGAATAAGCTTGGCTCTCTTCGCTCACACACACACACACACACACACACACACACACACACACACACACACACACACACGTCTCAGGTGTGCTGTGTAGACTGTGGGCAGTAGACTGAGAAAACCAGCCGTCTGCTCTTACCCCATATATATGTACTCGGAGCAAGAACGAGGTGCGGCGGAGCGGACCCGGGAGAGAGGGGTGACATTGGTGCCGTGACCCGGATGGGAGTGAGCGTTAGGGGGGTGAGTGTAACGGAGGCCAGCGAGTAGGTGCTGTGCAAGGTAAACCTCACTCCCCTGATCTCAAGAGACACACTAGCGACTGACGCTAGTGGCTGCAGTCTTTAGCCTTCTTGTTAGTGCGTCCGCCTCCCATGCCGGAGACCGGGGTTCGAGACCCACTCGGAGCAAGAACGAGGTGCGGCGGAGCGGAACCGGGAGAGAGGGGTTACATATACTGTATACAAGGCAGTTTGCTCTCACACACTTTTGCCATTGCATAAGACGACCATCCAAACCAAAACAGAT